GAAAAGCATAGGGCTTCTAGAAACCTGATATTTAAGGTTCTAATGTCATTTAGATGTCCCCCTTGCAGCAGGAATTAAGGTAGCAAAAGATTAGGATAAGATAAGATAAGATTGGATAAGGTTTGGATAAGATAAGGTTGTTTGGATAATGTTCCTTCTTTGTAGCTGATTCCTTATCTTCAATGTCTTGAATTAATTCTTCCAGATGTTAAGCACATTCCTCGCCCTTCTTGAACTTCAAATTCGTCCATCCACCTTGCTTCGTGCATGTGCAATCCATTCCAAGCTCAAAACTGCTCTAAAATGCTCCAAATTGCACTTTCTTGCCAACTTTGTCAATTGAACCTACAAATACACGAAAATAGCTTAAATCACTATAATAAATAGAAACTAACTTACTAAATGCAAAGAAACAAGCTAACTAAGTCGCATAAATATGCTCCTATCAGTTAGGACTCTGCCTAATGTCCTAAAATAAAGTGATAGTGGCACCCTGCTCCATCTAATACAGCTCTGTCTAGAGCTAATGAGTCCATGATCGAACTTTTGAGATAGCAACATTTAGATCATCTTTACTCTGGTCCTGAAAAATCATGGTCTCGCATGAACCATAAAAGATCTCTCGCACAAATAAATTTTTTCTTTAAGATGCATTGATAGAAGACCATTGTTATGACCCATCCGGAAATTATTATTTTCTAATTTTCGAAGGTAGGAAATGACCAAAATGCTTATGGAAATAGAATGTGTTGACTTCAGTTGACTATTGAGGTCGTGACACCTATGAATTATTCTCTTAGCATATTCTCGTAGTACTCTACGACACGAACGCATGAGCGTAAGTGGAATGAAATTCGGAGTTCTAACGAAGATTCTTCAGAACTTTAAAATCCAAGGGTATTCTCGTAATTTCAAGAGATTTCTAGACACTTCTAGTATTATTGTAATTCTATGGGTTTTAGGTCTTATGAAATCCACTCACTCCTATCATTCTCTCTCTCGTCATCTCTTCTTCCTTTCCTCACTTTTTCTCTCTCTTTCATTTTCTCTCTTTTTTCCCTCATCCATTCCTTGTCTCTTTTCCTGACAATGCACAAACATCGACGAGGGCTCCGTCGTTGTTCTCTGGTGAACCGCGCCATTTAACTACCACCATCGTATTCTCAACTTCACCACAGACCTAACCTTAGTCTTCGTGTGGAAATATTTCGAGGCCCAACCATTGATTCAAAAAATTATGAGGCAGAGCAATTTTTTTCGGCAACTTTCTCCCTAATTTTGGTCAAACGGCAAGGAATCGATCTTTGAGGCTACCACCATTGTGTTCATCTCAGTTTCTAAAATTAGAATATGTCCTTGGATTTGACATCGGAGCAACAACGGCGGGGCAACGACATTTTTAAGAAATCTAGCGAAAAACTGCTGAAATTGACGAGGTTGCAGCGATGACCTAACTTGCATCTAAGGTCAACCTAACCCAATAACCGATAATCCAACAACTCAACCCAACCCGACTACTCGATTCAACCTAACAATCTAGTCCGACTCGAGACCCGTTAACTCGAGATCTGACCTGACAACTTAACCCATTTTTTAATTCGAGTCGAAATATTCCAAGTAAGATCCCGTTACTCTGTTGTTAGTTTCAACGGAATATTCCTTCTGGCAAGGGAATAGTCATCTTTTTCTATCACCACCTCAACTGCTCGCGTGTGGAGCCTTTTCATCGGTGGTTGTGACAGCGCATGGCATGCCACAACGTCATACGATAGGATATGTGGGTTGGGATGTTCGCATCGGATATCTAGGTTAGGATGTGTCAATCACCGCTAGCCTTCTTTGTTCTTTTTGATCAAATCTACCACCATACTTTAAGATGCACATATGCAGCGCCTAAATTGCTAAATAAAACCTAAACTTCAAATGGTACTCACATCACATGGTGCTTATCTCATTTTCCAAAATTTAGCATTATGCGTAAATCCCAACCGAATGCTAAACAAACATTTGAAAACCCACTAAATTGAGTAGAGAATGTGAGAAATCCTAAAATTCCTAATAAACAAAACGTTAAATTTAAAGTGGGGTTTAACCAGAGAGAGGGATGCATTAGAGGGTGTGAGGTGTGAGGATTGTATTGGGAAGTACGTGACATGTATTAAGACAAATTTAATTTAGAAAGTAAATGTGAGATTATTAAATATGTAAGGTGCAGTCAACAAAAACACAGAGTGTGTAAATAAGGGGGTGTAGTCAATTTGGATTTCAGAAGATTTTAATGGACTTTTTTAAGTGACAAATTTTAAAGGATTTTAATAGATTCTACAATTTCATATGGATTTTGACATATTATTTTAGATTTCTATGGATTTGTAAGGATTTCTTTCATGGATTTCTTAGGATTTCTTTTTTGACTCCTACAACATAAATTCTTTTCTCAGTGCACAATCTCAAAAAGACATAAACATATGTATATTGATATATTGATATGGAAATACAAACCAACCAAATATGTCTTTTCTTTCCCTTTCTCATTTGAATTGTGATTTCTTTACGAAAAAATAATTTTAACTAACCAAAACAAGTAGTGCTTCTTAAATCAAATGTCTCAAAATTAACCCTTTTTCCTCAACACTGATTAGTTCATAATGTGTTGTTCAGTCTAAGTCCAACTACCAATGTAAATACCAATATAAGTAGGCTTAGGAAGATACATGATTACACGAAAAAGAGCAGAAAGCTTGAATTGGCAATAAGATTCTTGGTAGTAATTTCCAAGAATTCAATTAACATGGTAAAAAATTAACACCTTCAGATAGAACGCATAATCATTACAAGAATTGCTTGTAGCCATTAACACTTCCCATCAAGGCATTAGAAGAAATGCTATTACACATTCCAAAATAAAGGAAATTAAAAAATTAAAAAAATTAAAAAATTCAAGTTTGCAACTGTGACTGTGACGAATGAACATGAAAGGAAATCAGGTTGGCAGGTTCTATGTCTGGAAGAAAATGGAGAGTGAGAAAGAAAGATCGAGTTGCAGAATGGAGAGAGAGAGAGAGAAAGAGCGAGGGGGTTGAAAAGAAATCTTAGGGGTGGAGGTAGGATTTTGTTATGCTTATAATCCATTCTCAAATCCTACAAAATCTCTTATTGAAAGATTTTTTTTTTTTAAATCTATGAATTTTTGAATACCTAAAGATTTACATGGACTTTATAAAAATCATTTAAAATCCTAGTTGACTACACCAGGATTTTAAAGTCTTTTAAAATCTTTTAATTGACCACCCATGTATTTCAATGGATTCTTTTTAGTTGACTACACCATGACTCTAAAGTCTTTTAAAATCCTTTAAAATCCTCATTTGACTACACTCCCTAAGACTATCTCCAACCCTTGGCCTAAAACCTAAAATTTTTAGCCCATAAAATTTAGGTTTTAACCCAGAAACAACTTTTATTCTCCAACCATTCTCGCCTAAAATTTTAGCCCAATATTATTAAAGAATGAATTTAGGTTAATTTTTTTTAAATTAACTTTTTTTAAAACAACAAATTATGTAGACTATCCTAATTTAATTTTATGAATATTTTAACCTAAAAATATTTAGATTCTGATAAATATTGAAAAATCACTAAGTCGACACCATGAAACTCATAAAACACTATAGAAGTATATGAAATACATGATAAAGATGTATATTAGATCTTATTTTAGCCATTGGATTTAAATTTGGACCGTTAATCTTTTTTTTTTATTTTTTATTTATCATTGAATTTAATCGTAGTAGATCTCAGCCGTTGGATTCAATGAATTTATAAATATAAAACTAAAAAAAAAAATTTGAGTAGGGTTGCAGAAAAAGCCATTGGATCTAATTAATCCATGCCATAGATGAAGAAAGAGTCATTGGGCTCAGCGATAAGGCCGACAACACCCACGTGGGTGGGACCTTTGGGCTTTAAAGCTTTAGCGTGTTTGAGGCATGAGGCATGTTAAGTGCCGAGCGCTTTCCTTTTTGCTGGCGCGTCCATGCGCAGACGTAGGACAGCCCACTTGTGACATCCCACATTACCTAGGGGAGTGATCCTTATATGTATATTCTTATCTCTACCTAGCACGAGGCATTTTTGGAGCTCACTGGTTTCGGGTTCTGTTGAAACTCCCAAGTTAAGCGAGTAGCGCGCGAGAGCATTCCTATGATGGGTGACCCACTGGGAAGTTCTCGTGTGAGTTCCCAGAAACAAAATCGTGAGGGTTTGATGGGGGCCCAAAGCGGACAATATTGTGCTACGGTGGAGTCGAGCCAGGTAAGTGTTCCCACCCGGGCCGGGATGTGACAGTTTGGTATCAGAGCCTAACCCTGGTCGTGGTGTGCCGACGAGAACGTCGGGCCCCTAAGGGGGGTGGATTGTGATATTCCACATCGCCCAGGGGAGTGATCCTTATATCTATATTCCCATCTCTACCTAGCACGAGGCCTTTTGGGAGCTCACTGGCTTCGGGTTCCGTTGGAACTTCGAAGTTAAGCGAGTATCGCGCGAGAGCACTCCCATAATGGGTGACCCACTGGGAAGTTCTTGTGTGAGTTCCCAGAAACAAAACCGTGAGGGTGTGATGAGGGCCCAAAGCGGACAATATCGTGCTACGGTGGAGTCGGGCCCGGAAAGTGGTCCCACCTGGGCCGGGATGTGCCACCACTAACCCAAACTCAAATCCTGGTCGGAATCTGACATTTTGTTAGGTTTTAGGTTGTAATTCCAAATTAGAACTAGGGTTAGAATGGATTGGGGGGAATATAAGGGAGATTATAGATTTTAGGTCATGGATTGAAGTTGGTCTAAACCATCTCAATAAAAAAAATCCAAAAATAGTTACCCCAACCCCACAAAAAAAAAAAAAAAAGAAAAAAAGAAAAGAAAAGAAAAAAAAGAAGGGAGTGTGTAAATAAAACAACTCAATAAAAAAAGAATCAAAAAATGAGTTAAACCCCCAAAATAATAAATAAACAAAATAAAAGAACCGAGTGAAAACGTACCCACTCTATGTTGGGGTTTATCGGCAGGCAACAAAGGAAGCCAAAACTTAGACTAACGAGGAAGGGGTTTGAGACGACGGCAAGGCAGTCAGGATGGGGCGTATGCACAGCGGAGGGTTCGTTCTTTCCTTCTTATTCTCCGAACGAACTCCGCTAATCAACTCCATCACGATTCGTTTTAACCTGACCCATTTTCTTCGGGCTGTTTTGCAGTAAGGGTATTTCGGCTTCCGCTCTACCGTACAAGAGGACCCCTCCGAGCTGGTTGAAGATATCTACTCAGGATGTGAGAAAACCATAACTCTTCAACTCTTGAATATGTCAATTCGGTTGTGTTATGATTTGTTTGGTTGATGAGAATTGATGTAAATTTTGAGTATTTAGCTCGATTTCATGTCCCCTCTTTGGGGAAAAAATGAAAATTAAAGTGGGTGTTCTTATCCGATCGGTATCGGATGGCAAACGAGTTTTCTTTTTGTCTTTGTAAATTTGGTTCATGGGTTTATTTGGTTAATGAGCTACCAAACAGAACCTTATCGGGCGAACTGTTTTTCTATGTATTATTTCCATAAATGGATTGATTGACGATAAATGTAGCGAGGGAAGACAAAAAATGAACTATTGATAATATGTGAAAAAAAAATCTATTTCTTTTAATTTCATTTGGGAATGAAACTTTGAGTCTGATTGTTGTTGTCATCTTTGCAGTCACTGTAGCCCTTAATCACTGTTTTTTTTTTTTTTTTTTTTTTTGGGTTCTTGTCAAGTGGCTTTCGACATTTTCATTTTAGAATAATCAAAACCTCATGTTTGTTTTCTGTGTGCAGTGTTCATTTAACCTGTTTTGTTATTATGCCTTTATATCTACAATGAATGGTATGATACATTAGCGGCAATGCCAATCGCTGCAAACCCATTCCCCTTGGTTGAACAAATGAAGTTTGTTTCGTTGTATTTTAACTACTAATATTTCCAAGAGGATTGATTTCACACGCTAAGGAATTATATACAGTTGTTCATTGTTTATTATACTTACGTGGTTGGTTTTTGTTTTTAAGGTTGAGGAGAACATCTGCAAGTTTGCCAAGAAGGGCCTGACGCCCTCTCAAATTGGTGTTATTCTCCGTGATTCTCATGGGATTGCTCAGGTGAAGAGTGTTACGGGAAGCAAGATATTGCGTATTCTGAAGGCTCATGGTGTGTCTTTCGTTGATGTTTATTTTCATATTTTGTTTTACTCTTTGGAGTCAAATGAGTGAATGATTTCTTTGCCCTTTGTTCTTTATGGGTTAGGTCTTGCTCCAGAAATTCCTGAGGATTTGTACCACCTCATCAAGAAAGCTGTCTCAATCAGGAAGCATTTGGAGAGGAACAGGAAGGACAAGGATTCTAAGTTTAGACTGATCCTGGTTGAGAGCAGAATCCATCGCCTTGCTCGTTACTACAAGAAGACAAAGAAGCTTCCCCCAGTGTGGAAATAGTAAGTATCTGTTTTTGCTTTTGGATTTGTATTGTCTTCATATATCATAGGGATGGGGTTTTGATTAACCTAACTTGTAGACGCATACTGGAATTGTTCACTTAACGCTAGGGTTGGAAGGGGTTTGTTAGTGGGTACTGTTTGTTATTATCCTGCTAGCGCTCAAAGAGTCATTCAAGTACCATACATGTCTGCATTTCAATATTGGAAATAGATGTTGCCCTAGCTCCTTGAAACAATTTAAGATTCTTCTGCTTATTATGAATTATGTCGCCTTTTCTGGACTTCCAATATCTGAAGAAACCCACCGTGTGTGGGAATCTTATTTTCTATCAAGAACATTGTATATTTCTAAAATTTTCCCCTCAGAAATGAAATCTATGTGAGATGTGAAGTATTAGCGTTTGGTTTCGCCCAATTAATTAAACATGCTAGTTCTAGAGTGTCATACGTGAAAGTGAGGCTGGAGTAGTTCTTGAAGTGAAATTATCCACCTTTTCGTGACTGCTTGTACTAGTGTGCATCATGAAGAGCATTGGTTCTGCTGCTTGCTCAATTGTAACTATATCTTGGGTTTTTTTTTGTCAACTAGTTTTTCTTCAATTGCTTATTTTTGTTAATCTCTTTGTACAGTGAATCTACCACCGCCAGCACTCTTGTGGCTTAAGTCCGATATGATTGGCACCAATTTCGGGTGTACACATTAAAAGCAGGACCAGTTTTTAGTTTGTTATCTTCTTTGTTTGCTTCAATTTGGGAACTAAATGAACATCACATCAGGTTTGATTTTTGTTTTGGATGTTTAAGTTCCGTAATCAGGTTTTTGCTGGATTTCATCTTCTATTATTTTTTTCATTTTTATGGAGAGGGTCCTCTATTACTCATTATGTTAAATCCTTGATTCTTTTAAGAGATTGGTGCCTTAATTCTCTGTTATTGTTAGTGGAAAGCTTAGATATCAGATTACGCCCTGTCCTTAACAAATCAAAACGCTGCGAGATCTTCGCAGAATCCATTTCTTGGATTGTTGTTTCAGATTAATGAAACTCGTAGTAGTAGATTTGACTGTCATTCGATAATCTTGTAGCGTGGCTTGTAATAGGATTAAAACGATTGGTATTGTGTAAGGTAGCAATAAATTATTGTCATATCTCTGTAATTCAGTTGCTAGTGAAAATTTAAGACTTATTTTGGGAGCGCGCGTATTGCTATACGCCGCCCAACGAGTGCTTGGGATGTCTCGTGTTCAAATCTCATAAATAGCAAGTCCAAAACAATTTATTTTCCCAACTTTACTATAAATTTATTGTTGTATTTAAAAAAAAAAAAATACTAGTAAAGTCTCCTAGGCATGCATGTTGGTGTCGCATTATATGTGCAGATTCTTATGACTTTCTGTGTCACCTACCTAAAGCATAATGCGAGCATGACATTCTAATCCACTCATCAATCTCTCATGCATCATTAGTCTCGGATTTCTCTCAGTTTACAAGTTCAAAATTGGCGACTCGATTGAGATGGATCCCCGCAATACATGTTCAATATCGATCTTCACAACATTTCTTAGTTAATGGTCCTCTCACCTTTTATATATGTATTTTTTTCACTATGTATTTGAGATATTGGAGGGGACTAAAAGACGTTCAACTTTAAGAGTAATTTAGGCTGTGAAGTGTTGGAATCACTGATACACAACTTATTTGGGTAGGTGCGTTTACTTACACTACATGTTACTAAAACTTTGATGGTCAACCAAAACATCAAAAAATTATTATTATTATAGCCCTCTAAATAAAACTGAATAGAAAAAAAAAAAATTATGGACAATTTAGTGATTGTATAAACACGAATTTTACTGTTTTTTAAATTTCAAAATTGAACCACCTTCATTCCTGATTCCTCTCTCATTCTCTCTATTTTCTTTTTCTGTTACTGGCGTCACAGATTCGGGGCGTGTGGTCCAACACAAGACAAAGAGATCGGGTTTGGTGGTCGGGTGGATTTTTTATGGGAATGAGACAGAGATCGGAAGAGAAATGTGGTGGTGGCTGATGATGGTGATGAGTTGAGGACGCAGTGTGGTTCCCGTCGGTTATGATGGATGTTGGGTTCTGTTTTTAAATTATTTATTTTTGGATTAATGATAGGGTTTAAATGTGGTGAGAATGCCAACGTAATTACGGTTGGTATGACGAATCGAAGCAGGAGCTTTGTGATGTTTTGGTTATGGTTTCAGTAGGTGCAGACAGCCTGCCCAAAATGAAATTTCGTAAGGGTTCCATTCCACTTACGAATTGCATTATACCCTTGCAATCCCATGTGCAGGTTATAAGTAACATGAACATCAAACTCCAACACAGAGAGGTGTTTCGTAGATTTTGCGGCGGGTTATTCTTTTGTCCTTTTAAAATTTATTTTATATTTTAAGCTTGTTAGGGTTCTATAAATTAAACAATTAAACCGGTAACCATTACCAAATGAATTGAGTGACAAAAATAAAAAATTGGCAGACGCGCATAAAAATATCAGGTACATGGGATTTGATAGAGATAGGCACGTAACAACAGCTGTAAGAAGGCTTTTGCAGTGTGACCAAGAAGGATTTTCGCACTCATATCGCGTGTACCAGTTAGCTAGTGTACTAAATAAGTATCAGATTAATTAAACGGATCAAAGCCACTTATACGCTCCATACCCGGTTATCTAATACACGCCAAAAAAGAAATCGGCTAAAATAGTTGGCTAGGCGTCCCTTTACAACATCATCGTAGCTCTCCATCTCCACCCAGCCGCCATGGCAGGCTCAAAATTTTCTTTCCGTCTTGTGTTCACTCTGTCCTCTATCTTTCTACAGCTTCGCAAGTCAAATGGCTCTCTTCGTTGGCGGGGTCTACTGGTTCGTCTCAGTTTTCAGCCCAACCGATCAAAAGGACAAGAGCATTGTAGGTCTCTTCGGTAACTGAGGAAGTGCAAGATAGCTATATGACAAATACTGGTCCTTCTTCTGCCGGCCCGTGGAGATTGTACAATTATGAATAGGGAGCTGCATTTGTTGGTATTTTACATGTTTCACCAAATCCTACTCTCACTTAAATAAATACAAGCAATTGTTCATGCTGTGTATGTGGTTACTAAAATTTTAAAGATAAAATTTAAAAAAGCAGAAAATATAAATGGTTTTGGTCGCTGAAAAGATTGTTTATATCTTAGCAACTATTTTGTTGTTAACTATTTCGTTACTAAAAATTTATTTTATTTGGAAGAAAACATGGAAAAAAGGGGGTTGGAAGAAAAATGGGAACACCTGATATGGTTAACTAGCTGTGAGAGAGAGAATAAAATCGTAAAACTATTTTGTGTCTAATTTACTCTATGGTTTTGTTGATAGGGTTAGAATGGTCTTTTCATTTTTTTTTGTTAACAAAGAGGGTACTATTACAAAACTGATTTTTTTTTTACCAAAATGGGACATAACACTTTACTTGGTTTCTAAGATTTAAAATCAATAGAAGTGGTTTCTGATTTTGTTCACTATTATCATTTTAGTACTTCGGTAAAAATTTCAGTTAAATAAAAACCAAAATGATAAAAATAACCTCCATTTAATAAACAATGGGCCAAAGTGATTTGACAAAAATGTAGCGTATTTTTATCATTTTATCCTTATATAATGGAAAATGTTAACAGAATGACCAAAATGATTGATAGTGAACAAACTTAGAAACCACTCCTATTAACTTCAAATATCAAGGATTAAAGTGAGAAATTATACCAATTTCAAATACCATTTTAACTAAAAAGCATTAAAAAGCATATGTATAATAAATAATACATTATAATGGTTTTGCCCTCCACAGACTCTACCGCTATTGTATAACTAAATTTGAATTTAATCCATACCCTATAGCAAACAATTTTTTGTTTATGGATCAAATCCGACAATTGAAATATCAACAAAATTATATACTATCTGATAAAAATTAAATATTTACACAAAAACTGACATTTTATGACTTCCTCCGCATGTAGAGAGGTGCTTTTTAGTTTTTACAAGTGATTTATGCACTTTAAATATGTGATTATCAACTAAAGATTAGTTTAGTGATACTTTTGTTTCTAAATATATGTAATACTGTTACAAATAAAAATGAGTAAATCTCAGCTTACTATCCTCAAGTTTCGTGGTTTTCAACATTTAATACATGAAGTTTTTTTCGTCCCAGAGTTATATCTAAAATGTTAATTTTGCGACAGTCTTATACATTCGTTAGTATTAAATCAGCTGTTAACTGATAACGTGACAACCACGTGGATAATAATTAGACGTCACGTGTCAATATAGGACACAAATGAATATTAAAAAATTAAAAAAAATTAAAAATTAAAAATTAAAAATTAAAAATTAAAAATATAAAAAAATAAAAATTTCTGGGCGTTCGTTCACCTCTCCCTTCTCTTCCCTGCACCCAACCTCCCCGCACACCCACCCATTCCCCTCCTTCTCCCTCCCTACTCTCCTCTGCACTCACCCTCCCCGCACACCCACCCACAGATTTTGATCCAAGAAAACAAGAAGGAGAACCAGAAATTCAATCAAATCCACAGAGAAATAAAAACATAGCAAATCGGAATCGAAAAAACCACAAAGAAGCCATATAAGCCACCAAGAAAAATGAATCAAAATATCACAAAAAATTTGAAATCCCAAAATATTACTCAGATTCTAAGTGACGCAGAAGCAGGAGCAGAACCTAGAGAGAGATCCATAAATAAATGGATGATTTTAAATTTTGTGCTTTTCGAATTGCTTGAGTATATAAAATGTTGAATTGCAGAGATTTACTGGGAAATTTTTGGATACGAAGGGTTTAATTTTTTTGATTCAAGTGGGAACCAAGGGGATTTTATTGTGCGTGGAGATACTAGAACCATGCCTCTTTCTTTAATTCAAATTTCTAGGGTAACCGATTTCGCCGGAATCTTCACCGCCAAGCCAAAATACGACTATTTATATTGTGGGTCTTCTTTATATGGAAATCTGAGTCCCCAGAGAGTGAGGGAGTGGATTGCTTACCACGTCCGGCTGTTCGGGCCGAGATCCCATTTCGTAATCCACGACGCCGGCGGGATCCATGAGGAGGTGCTGGAGGTTCTGAAGCCATGGATGGAGCTCGGATACGTGACGCTGCAGGACATCAGGGAGCAGGAGAGGTTCGATGGGTATTATCACAACCAGTTCATGGTGGTGAATGATTGCTTGCACATGTATAAATTTCAACTTCTGGTTCTCACTCTTGTTTTTATGGATCGAAATTGGTGGGTGAGCGGGGAGGGTGAGTGCAGAGGAGAGAAGGAGGGGAATGAGTGGGTGTGCGGGGAGGTTGGGTGCAGGGAAGAGACTGGAGGGAGAAGGAGGTAGCGGGTCGGGAGGGGTGAACGAACGCCCAGATTTTTTTATTTTTAAAATTTTAAATTTTTTTAATATTCACATTGGCTCTATATTGACACATGACGTCCAGTCATTGTCCACGTAAATGTCACGTCATCCGTTAACAGTTGATTTAACAGTCAGACTAATGGATGTATGAGACTGTCCCAAAATTAACATTTTAGGACGAAAAAAATTTCATGTACCAAATATTAAACTTCAAGATAGTAAACTGAGATTTACCCAATAAAAATTTAAGATGAAATAAAAATATTTCTTTAAAGTGCCATGATTTATACTTGCACTAGCTTTTAGTAATTATGTGTTTGTCTTTTCCTAAGTTACAAATGAAAATAGGCATGCTCCACTACTAATATGGTTTTTTATACCAAGTCCTAATTTTCGTTTTAAAGTTATTTAATACTACGGTCTAATGGTATTACTCTTCATTGATAAGTGAGAAGTCTTAGATTCGATTCTATCTAAAAGAAAATTTGAAGCACATTATTGATAACAAATTGTGAAGCCTTAAGATTTAGCCACTCTTCCATCCCATGATGTAGATAATATTATTTGTTAAAAAAAAAAAGTCTCAAATAAAGCCCTAACTGAATGAATTCCACATCGTTTTCCAAAGGCTGAAAAGACGACCAAACGCAATAAGGGAGGCCCGCAAAGTCGGCCCAATAGTCGACAAAAGGCTGATAAACCCTAATTCATTTCTCCTCCTGTATATTAGCACTCTGCCGCCGCGAGCTTTAACCTTCTTGGTCGTCTTCTGTTGTCTCTCATTTTCCAACAGAACCCATCACCCCGTTCCCTCTCAACTCCCGGTACGTTCTGGTTTTTCGTTTACTTGTTAACCCTTTGTGTGGCTCCGTCGCATCCTGCAGATGATTTATTAATTTAATTTTTCTGTGATAACACTATATTTTTCAGTGGATTTGTTTTGTTTCTATAATTTATTTTTGGGTTTAATTCAAAATTTAGGTGGTGTCGTTCTTGGATTCGAAATTGCTAGATTCTTAGGTTCATAATTCAGAGTTCAGACGGTTGTTTTTAGTATAATTCAATGAAGTCGTTGTTGGTTTTGTTGGATTTAAATTCATGGTGCTTTTGGGTTGAAGTGGTAGTTAAAATGTGAAATCTTCACCTTTCCGTTGGTATTCGTGTTGAACTGATGAAGTTTTATGCTCAGTGATGTAATTATCAGGTTTTGCAAGGAAATAATTGATATATATATATATATATGTATGTTTGTGTATAGACTTGGACATATACGGTGTGTGTGCAATGCTGCCGAATCTTAATACATTGATTTGTTTTGTGTGATTTGTATGCATATTTTGATGTACAAAGATGTATGCAATTGCGGTATTTGTTCTCGTGAATGTTGGGCTTATATTTGTTTTGTATTTTGGCAGCAGGAGATAATCGACAATGAGTCGAGGAACTGCAGCAGCAGGTCCCAAGGGGAAAAAGAAGGGTGTGACTTTTACCATTGACTGTGGAAAGCCTGTGGAGGACAAGATCATGGACATTGCATCCCTTGAGAAGTTTCTTCAGGAGAGGATCAAGGTTGGAGGCAAGGCTGGTGCACTTGGCGATGCTGTCAGTGTGACCCGTGAGAAGAGCAAGATCACTGTCAGCTCTGACAGTAACTTCTCAAAGAGGTATTTTTGTTGATCTTTCGTGATTAATTCTTGTATGACTAATTGAAGGTGTGGTTAATTTATTAAATTCGTGCATTCTTTTTAATGCTTGGTGAGTTTAGCTTGGCTTTCTTTGGAATATTTGTGTCTTGATCCAGACATTGATGTTTAACATGCATTGAATTCTATTTAGTTCTCTTTCTTTTTAGTGTGCTTAACGGA